AGTACCACAGTCCGCAGTTTTACCAATGGGAGGATCCCGAGGCAAGCAAAGTTGACGAGTCTGTGGAAGGACGCAAGTCGGTTTTTAGACATTGAAAGAAAATAATGGAAGCATGGATTGGGCCGAGTTTGCAGTGGCCTTGGGTTCGTTGGTGTCGCTGCTTGGATGAGGACCTGGTTTGGCCCTCGTGTGCATCACTTGAGAGGATGGTCTTGAGAATGGGGTGGATATCGAAGCAAGCAGCAACAGTTGCCAGAGCACAGGTTAGAGGGGACTTGAAGAAGGAAATTGTTAGTGAGTTTCCTAGATTCCGACAAAAAGGCAGGGCGTTAAAGCTGGCCCGTCAGTCTTTTCCAGTTTATTATTCGCAGATAGACACCCAAAAGTTTAGATATCTTCAGGCTCATTGACACCCCACAGATGAGCATGTTTGTGAGCAGGCAGAACGTTGATGCCGGCGTTAGGCTCGAACTCCAAAAGCAGACAATACCCGTTGGGTTTCGTTTTGGGTGACCAAACCTTGCTGAATGCACAGAGAATGAAGGGCAGTGGCATAGCAGCAGAAATTTGGCTGAAGAGACACGGACGATTTATCGCTTGTCGAACAAGCTGTCGTTTAGCTGGCCTCTATTGTAAGCGTTGAAACACGAAAAATGAAGGAAACACCGCCCCCGGACGGATACACTATATCAAGAGGATTATGCCACTTTGCCAAAACATTCTCTGAGAGATTAAGACAAGATGGTAGGCAGAGCCACATATGCATGTTCGCAGAGGTGAGGTCGGGACTTGGTCAAAAGTGATTCACGTGACTGGCCCCACCATGTTCAAGGGGTGTGGGACCTGACTGGCGTTATCCCCAAGGACACGGAGCCATCTTCACAATCCACCGACGCCGACCGACCTCAAGCAGTCCGCCAAACACCGCTGCCCAACATGAGCTACGGCAAGAAAGACGAAGATGCCGATTTGGGCCTGGTGAAGGTGGATAGGACCCAGGTATTTCAAGAAGGTGAGTTTCCGAGGGAATTACACTTACCCATACCGCTCCATCGCCTACCCCTTCGAGATTCGTGCTGCGAGCAAGCTGGCTAATCCCAGGATCAACAGCACGACTATTCAACAGCTCTCCCATCCAGCCGCGAAGATGTCGAATCCTCCTCACAAAGATCGCCCTTCTGCTCTACACGGGCGAGAAGTTCCCCACGAACGAAGCAACGACTCTCTTCTTCGGCATCTCGAAGCTGTTCCAGAACAAAGATGCCAGCTTGCGACAGATGGTCCACCTTGTCATCAAGGAACTGGCCCACTCGGCCGAGGACATTATCATGGTTACTAGCACCATCATGAAGGATACTGGCGGCAGTACCGATGCCATCTTCCGGCCCAATGCCATTAGGGCCCTGTGCCGCATCATCGATGTACGCTGAAAGCTGACTTGAGCTACAAGGGAGGGAAGGGAGCGCCTTGCTAACTCAGCCTCTAGGCCACCACAGTCCAGTCCATTGAGCGCGTGATGAAGACCGCCATTGTCGACAAGAACCCCTCCGTTTCTTCCGCAGCCCTCGTTTCTTCGTACCACCTCCTCCCGATCGCCAAGGATGTTGTCCGCCGCTGGCAGAGCGAGACACAGGAAGCTGCCGCTTCGACCAAGTCTTCGAGCGGCTTCTCCTTGGGCTTCTCCTCCTCGAGCGGCCAATTGCCTGCCAACAACTCGACCATGCCCCAGTACCACGCCATTGGTCTGCTATACTCGATGCGCATGCACGATCGTATGGCGCTCGTCAAGATGGTCCAGCAGTTTGGTGCCGCCGGCGCGGTCAAGAGCTCTGCCGCGATCGTCATGCTCGTCCGTCTGGCCGCTCAGCTCGCCGAGGAGGACCCGTCGCTCAGGAAGCCCATGATGCAGCTGCTGGATGGCTGGTTGCGCCACAAGAGCGAGATGGTCAACTTTGAGGCTGCCAAAGCCATCTGTGACATGCGGGATGTCACCGACGCCGAGGTTTCCCAGGCTGTCCACGTCCTCCAGCTCTTCCTTACCTCCCCTCGCGCCGTCACCAAGTTCGCCGCCCTCCGAATTCTCCACAACTTCGCCTCTTTCAAGCCCAACGCCGTCAACGTCTGCAACCCCGACATCGAGCTCCTGATTTCCAACAGCAACAGATCGATCGCCACCTTTGCCATCACCACGCTGCTCAAGACTGGTAACGAGGCTAGTGTTGACCGCCTGATGAAGCAAATCTCTGGTTTCATGTCTGAGATCACGGACGAGTTCAAGATTACCATCGTCGAGGCTATCCGAACCCTGTGTTTGAAGTTCCCTAGCAAGCAAGCTGGCATGCTTGCTTTCCTCAGCGGTATCCTCCGCGACGAGGGCGGTTATGAGTTCAAGCGCGCCGTGGTTGAGAGCATGTTCGACCTGATCAAGTTCGTTCCGGAGTCGAAGGAGGACGCCCTTGCTCACCTGTGCGAGTTCATCGAGGACTGCGAGTTCACCAAGCTCGCAGTTAGAATCCTGCACTTGCTCGGTCTCGAGGGCCCCAAGACTTCCCAGCCTACTAAGTACATTCGCTACATCTACAACAGAGTGGTACTGGAGAACGCCATCGTGCGTGCTGCTGCCGTCACCGCCCTCGCCAAGTTCGGTGTTGGCCAGAAGGATCCCGATGTCAAACGCAGTGTTGAGGTTCTCCTTACCAGATGCTTGGACGATGTTGATGACGAAGTCAGAGATCGTGCCGCACTCAACCTCAGACTCATGCACCAGGAGGATGAGATTGCAGAGAAGTTTGTCAAGAACGGTATGCCCACGACCGAAAACTTGCGAGAAAACCAACCAATACTGACCCCTTTACAGACAGCATGTTCTCCCTGCCGTACTTCGAGCACCAGCTCGTCATGTACGTCACCTCAGAGGACAAGTCCGCGTTCAACAGCCCCTTCGACATTTCTCAGATCCCTGTCGTTACTCGCGAGCAGGCAGATGCCGAAGACCGGACGAAGAAGCTCACGGCGACTGCCCCGTCTCTCAAGCCCCCCAAGGCCGGCCCCACAAAGGCTGTCGCGAGCGGCGCGGAGGCTGCTGCATCAGCGACCGCCGTTACTCAGCGTTACGCCCAGGAGCTGATGCAGATCCCCGAGATGAAGGAGTTTGGCAGCGTCCTGAAATCGTCGCCTGTCGTCGAGCTTACCGAGTCGGAGATGGAGTACGTCGTCACTGTCGTCAAGCACATCTTCAAGGAGCACATCGTCTTCCAGTACGAGGTTAAGAACACGCTGGATGCGACCGTCCTCGAGAACGTGTCCGTCGTGGCGACGCCGTCGGAAGAGGAGGAGCTCGAGGAGGTTTTCATCATCCAGGCCGAGAAGCTCGCCACAAACGAGCCGGGCAAGCTGTATGTGGCCTTCAAGAAGGTCAACGGGGAGGGTTCCATGCCAGTCACCAGCGTCTCCAACATTCTCAAGTTCACCAGCAAGGAGATCGACCCCACGACAAACGAGCCCGAGGACACTGGTTACGACGACGAGTATGAGGTGGCCGAGTTTGACCTCACGGGCAGCGATTACGTTATTCCCACGTTTGCCAGCAATTTCAACCACATCTGGGAGCAGGTGGGTGCAGCTGGCGAGGAGGCCGAGGAGACTTTGCAGCTCAGCAGCATGAAGAGCATAGCAGGTGAGTCTTTGTCTTTGCATGAAGAAAACGTGGTTGGGGCTAACAGAAGTACAGAGGCAACGGAGCAACTGGCCAAGGTCTTGTCGCTGCAGCCTCTGGAGGGCACGGACGTGCCAGTCAACCAGACGACACATACCCTCAAGCTGCTCGGCAAGACTGTTGGTGGTGGCAGAGTGATTGCCAACGTGCGGATGGCTTACTCGTCCAAGTCTGGTGTAACGACGAAGATCACGGTTCGCAGCGAGGAGGAGGGTGTGGCGTCGCTTGTTGTGGCATCGGTTGCTTAAAAAGAAGACAGTTGTTCGGAGTTTGTGGGATCAATGCAAATGGTCGGATATTCCAAGCAAGCAAAGATGTACGCACGGCAGTCAAGGGGAGACGAGTACGCTTTTATTACAGCCGACTCCATCGAGCAGTCAATGCCGCCGTTGCCTCCGCCGCCATGGTAGTAAAGGGGGGTTAGCATTTCTGAGCGCGCAAGCGTGCGCGTTACAGAAGACTGGTGGCTCGTACATCTAGAATGAAGACACGAAAAGATATTTACAAGGTGGCTTCCGCGGGATCGTATTGTGATATAACATTATGTTATTAATGTAATCAACCGTGAATGTCGTTGGTCTTAGGCTCTTTACTATGTCTGGAGGAAAGCAAGCTCTAAAGGTCAGGTTTCACAATGGTAAACCAAAGCGTGGTGTGCAACCCAACCCCTGTCATGGAGCTGTCACGCGGGTGTGTCAAGCCTGACGGGGCGTGTCAGTTTGACACGGCGTTGGCAGTGGCTGGTTGGTCGTTCTGGGGCTGGAATGGGCTTGACAAGTGGAGACGGAGCATGAAGCTCAAGGTGGAGAACCGATGCCAAAAGGGGACTAGCGAGCTCGGGGAGACGGGGGAGAAGGGGAGTGAGGGAGAGAAAATGACGTTGTGGGGTTGACGGGTCCGCTGCGTGTGCGCGGGCCTGCGAGCTGTCCAAGAAAATTTTAGCTTGAACTGGGTCGCGAGCAGAGCGTCGGCCGGCCACCACTACCACCACGCGACCCTGGGTAGCTTGATACCACATGTCAAGTTCTCTCTTCTGTTGCTCGGAGCTGTTCATCAAGTTTTACTGTCGCTTGTCTCGGACCATTTGAAGTGTCTCTGTGGTAGGACTTGACCATTCCCGCACATACTCTCTCTCTCTCTGCCCTTCTCTGAATCTTTCCTTCCTCTCATACTCCAACCCGCCTACCTTATCCACTATCCCCGCCAAAGTCTTTGGCTGCCTCGACACCCCGGTTTGAAGTCATCGTCACCGCTCCTGAAGAGCGACGGATACGTGAGCATCTGGGACCCATCGACTGGTTCTACGGCGTTCGCTAGCTTCCCCGGAGCCCCGCTCAGATCAGAGCTTCCGATCCGCCAAACAGCCGAGAAGAGAAAAGAAAACAAGAAGAAGAAAAAAAATCCCCGGCACGATACAAACCACCGTTCGCTTAGCAAACTCGACTTGTTCAGCTACAACATCAACACAACACCACACGACGCGCGTAAGAAAGAACAACGCACGCTCTCGCCCACGATGGTTTACGTGCGCCAGGACCGCCTCCCGGCGCTCAAGGAATACAAGTACTCTGGCGTCGACCATTCTCTTACGTCAAAGTACATCCTCAAGCCCTTCTACACCAATGTCGTCATCAAGATCTTCCCCATGAGCATGGCGCCGAACCTCATCACCCTGACCGGCTTCATGTTCGTCATCGCGAACATCTTGACGCTGCTTTGGTACAATCCGACGCTCGACCAGGACTGCCCCAGCTGGGTCTACTACTCGTGGGCGATCGGCCTGTTCCTGTACCAGACTTTTGACGCCGTTGACGGGTCGCAGGCGTAGGTTACCCCCATCCCCCCTGAGCTTGCTGTTTGAGCCGTAGCCCGTTGGAGGAGAGACGTGAAGCTAACGTGGACTTTTCGCGACGACAGCCGACGAACCCATCAGTCCGGACCTCTTGGCGAGCTCTTCGACCACGGCGTCGATGCGCTAAACACCTCGCTCGAAGCCCTCATCTTTGCCGCTTCGCAGAATATGGGACAGGGCTGGATGACCGTCGCCATTCTTTTTTCTTGTAAGTTTCTACTTGCGCCCTCCCCAATCACCCAGCAAAGCTAACATGCCGTTCTCGCCAGCCCTCCTCACCTTTTACGTCCAGACGTGGGACGAGTACCACACCAAGACGCTCACCCTGGGCATTGTCAACGGGCCCGTGGAGGGCGTTCTCATCCTCGTCGGCGTCTACGCCCTGACGGGCTACCTGGGCGGCGCTTCCTTCTGGCAGCAGTCGCTCCTCCGCACCTTGGGCGTCTCCGAGAAGCTGGGCATCCCCGAAGCCGTGTACGAGCTCTCCTTCACGCAATGGTACATGGCCCAGGGCGCGCTCGTGCTCGTCCTCAACACCGTCGAGTCTGCGCGCAACGTCATCAAGGCTCGCCACGCGCGCGGCGACCGTTCCCGCGGCGCGCTGCTTGGCCTGCTGCCCTTCTTCGGCATGTGGACGCTCATCGCGTCGTACCTGTTGCTACACCCCACCATCTTGTACTCGCATCTCGTGCCGTTCGTCTTCTTCGCCGGCGTCGTGAACGCATACTCTGTCGGGCAGATGATCACGGCACACCTGGTGAAGCTCGACTTCCCGTACTGGAACGTCCTGGGCCTGCCGCTTGCGTTTGGGGTCGCTGATGCGCTGGGACCCAAGCTGAAGGAGTACTTTGGATTTGGCTGGCCCAGCGCGCTGGGCGACGACGTCTACCAGGTCGCTTTCATGTTCCTGATGCTCGGCATGGCCATTGGCGTTTACGGCAGCTTTGTCGTGGATGTCATTGTCACCATCTGTGATTATCTTGACATCTGGTGTTTGACGATCAAGCACCCGTGGGTTGAGGGTCGGGACAGCGAGGGCAGTGCCCAGGTCGATGGCAAGAAGTCACAGTGAAGGCGGAAGGGGGACCAACCTTGCTGCCGCCGGGCTAAGCTAAGCTAAGCTATGTTGTTGTCAACCGGGGTGCTTGTAGTAGCTGGACCCACGACAGCGGCAGAGACGAGGAGGTCAAATCTCCGGCATTTACGGAGAGCTGATTTCGTCCTGTGATTGTGACCAGCTGCTGAAACGAGGAGAGGGAATGTCTCCGGCCAAGGCCGGACGTTGCCAAGCAGAGTTTCGCCTCAGCGCGTCGCCCGGCATGTCATCGACGACGACCCTCCGTAACAAATACGAACGAGGCCACTGGCTACGGAGGAGAATGAGTATGACCAAGTACACGACAGGAACAAATGATGATTCGGAATGACTGTGGGCGGAGGTCTGGGAGGGTGACGAAGTCGAGTGGGAGAATAATGATGTGATGGGAATCCTACGTATGGTGTTTATTTCTTTCCGCTTCAAGTTGTTTGTTGCCGCCACCGCTCCTGATGCCATTTTTGGTTATTAGGCCTTGTTAATGTTTGCTCTTCCCCTCCTAGACCCTTCCTCTTTCTTTTCTTTTTTTTTTTTCTTTTTTGGCAAAGCGGCATATTTCAGGAGTTCGGGCGTATGTACCGGACGCGACGAAGGAAAGGGGGCGATGGCCGGTTGGCCGGCTGGTGGCGTGAGGAACACACGAAGATATTCACAGGAGGAACGGCCCTGCCTGTATTCCAGTCCCCACCCCGTCCCCCTTGCCAGGTTCACGGCGGCAGCGAGGTTGTTTCTCTTGTCGCTGTTCAACGTCCTGAATAGAATAATAGATGTGAGATACCACCCGTACACTGTTCCAACACTCTTTCTCCCTCGCCCCGTTCAGCCGTTGAAGCGCCAGCCCCTCCCCTCCCCCCACCCCCTCCTTGCGCGCTGCCCCTCGGCCTGTGGTCCCTCCAACTGAAAATGGCACGCCGGGTCGTTCGCCTGGTGCACCGACCTCCCGGCCGACCTGGTCGTGGCTCGCAGGGCGGGGAGATTCCGGGGAAAGTGAAGAAAACAAGAAAGAAAAGAGAAAGAGAAAGAAGGAAAGAAGAGAAAAGAAAAAGACTAGAGGAACCGAGGAAGTCGGAAACTCAGCCCCCCTCCCCCCTCTTCCCCACAGTGTTCTAGAGCGAGATGTGAGAGAGAGAGACAAGAGAGAGCTTAAAAAGCGGCCGAGAACGAGGCTTCCCCCCCACCCTTTCTATCCCCAATATAGCCATGGATCGAAAAGATGGAGGGATCACAAGGGGGGAAAGGGGAGGCGAGAAATACGTAGTGGTTTACGGAGTACCAAGAGAAGAAAAATAAGAAGACGGGGAAAAAGAAAGAAAAGGCAAAGCCAAAATTGGACATTTTGGGACGAGAGAGAGAGAGAGAGAGAGAGAGAGCCATAGTTGACTTTCCCGGTGGGAGCGGAGGGGGAACCAAACCAAACAAGCCAGTGGTAACCCTATCACTAGGTAGGTAGTGTACAGGTATATATTACTTCCCCCCGGTCATGTACACGCCTTAAGGTACGTGATTTAGGACGGTTCCTCTTGAGGTCGCTCAGGTACATAAAAATAGTGACACAGTCGGGCCATGTACACGTACGGCGAACCTCGCTCGCCACCCCTTCATTTCTTCCTTTCTCTCGGCGGGGTTTGGTTGGTTGGCTGGCTGGCTGGCTGGCCAGTTGCAGGGCGGCAATTGGGAACCGCTCGGTCACTCGGTCAGCGAAACCCGCGCCGCCGCTGCCTCCATGGACGGAATCCTACTCATGATTTCCACCGGCTTCCAAGGTCCCATCCAGGCAAGGCAAGGCAGTTGTCGAAGAGTGGCTTTTCGGTTCCTTTCCCCCCCGATCTCCTTCACCGCTCGTGGAACGGGAAATGACACTAGCGGCCAGAAAACTTGCCTTGCTTACCATCCTACCTATTTCCCCATCGCGCGAAGAAAGATTGGACGGGGCACGGGTTCATATATTCGGGCATCGACGAATTGTATTTGCAACAACTTCGATGAGGGAACCGTACCCAAATGACACATTCCTAATGGACCCTCCTATGCCTGCAGGCCTGTAGGTCGGACAGAAACCTTTCAACTAACAAACCCCCCTTTTCCCCTTAACGAACGCGTATAGAAAAGATAGGTATGGAGTGAAGAGAAGACCAAAATAAATTCCCAAAAGCATCCCATGCAATTTGCTTAACACAGACACTCCCGAGCGTATCAGGGAGATGGCTTCTCTGCTTCCCGGCCCAGACCGAGTGTTCCCTTCTCCCATGCCCCCATCCCCCAATAATCGTCATGCTCTGTTTGCCCCAGCCTACCGGCAGACTACTTCTTTGTCGTTTGGCTCGTATTGCCGTCGGTTGAGGCTGTTGGTTGTGTTTCCCCGTAAAAAAGACGCCATTTCGTCTAGTAAGCTTTTTTTTTTGTCACATCGCAGGTACCTTTGAGCTCCCAGTATTGCCCCATCAAATAGCATGATACAGAAATGGCAAGGATGCAAGATAAAAAAGAGATTTTGAAAAAAAAAAAAAAAAGAAGGGAAGAGTTGAGGAATATGCCAGCCTGACGTCGTTATCTGGCGTTTCCCCCTCCGTTTGACTCCGTTTACCCAAAACGCCGAACCTGGTCGTTTGCAGGTCTCATGTCATTCCAGTGCTGCACATCGCTTACAAAGCACCCACATCGAGCCCCCACCCGCCGAGAACCGCGGGCTAGAGCAGCTCGTCGCTTCCGCTGGCGACGCTGCCTTGGATGGCCTCGATGATGGAGCGCTCCGAGAAGACAGGGCCCTGACCGTCGCATCGGGCTTGGTTCTTTAGCCGCTCGCTCACGTCGCCCACATCCACCAACCCCCTCTTGAACAGCGGGTGGCTGATGATGAAGTCCCACGTAGCGCCGGCGGCGAGCAATCGCTCCCCATCTGACGAAATGGCGACCCGATGGCTGGGTGTCTTGTTGTTGTGCGGGGCGAGCAGGTCAGAGTAGAAGTCTTTGGGGTTGTAGTGCATGGGACCTGTCATCCGGGGCTCGGGGGAGGAGCTGCTGTGATGGCCGTTCAAGGAGGAGGTTGCGCGGAGGATTTCGTTCTCGGTGCTGATCTTTTGCATTTCACGCTTGAGCCGTTCGTTTTCCGTTGACTTTTGCTGTGCTTCCGCCTCGAGGTTCGCAAGCTTCGCCTCCAGGTCTTTGACGTGCCTCTCCTTGCGTTCTCGGAATGCGCGTTGCCTATGTCGCACTCGTGTTAGTACCAGTGTCCATCATCAAAAGACGCGAATGTTGGACAAGAATCGCGGGTCAACCAATACAGAAGAAGAAGAAGAAGAAGGGAAAGTGTCTCGTCGGCGCATGCGGAAGCAGTGGTGAACGGGGTGCAACATACGCAGCGCGGTTTTGGGCCTTCCTCCTCGACTGGGCGGGCGTCAGGTCTTCATCGTCCGAGTTCGACTGGCCCCGACGGGAATGGTCGTCGAGAGGTTCCTGCTTGTGGACGATGACGTCGGGTTGGGCCTTGATCTGTTGCATCGAAGAAGCACTCATTCCGTTGTGCTGTGTCGGCTGGACGGGCTGCTGGACGGGCAGCCCATGGTTCGGAGGGGTGGGGGGGCCAGGAGGGCCGGGGAAGGAAGTCTGCTGTGGGTTGAACTGGGCAGCAGAATAGTTATCAAAGGCGCTGAAGTGTTGGTCGTTGGGATATTCGGCGTAGACGTCCTGCTCATGTCATGATTGTGTAAGTGCAGGTCGCAGTAGGCTAAGCGCCAAGCGTGCGGTGGGTATTCGGGAGGGCAGGACGGGAAAGGAATTCGATGACTTACCGGCGGAGATGTCGTGTTGAAGTCATCTGAGCCCGCCGAATTGGAATGGGATGGCGTGAGCGGCGGGATGCCCATGAACTGGTAGGGCTGCGTTTGCGCAAAGTACTGGTGAGAGAAATCCATGGTCGCGAATCTGCTCTGGGAAAGTCGGCCGGCACTCGGGGATGTGAGGAATAATAGAAGGGGGGGAAAGGGTGGTTTGGGAATTGGGAAGCGGATAGCCGTGTCCTGATGAGGGTCTAGGTTCAGTCCAGGTGCAGAAGGGGGAAGAGGGCTGGAGAGCAAGCGTAGGAGGGGGTGCGCAGACTGGTGAAGGTCCAAGGTCGAGGTGCCGTGCGGGTAAAAATGAGCCTGCAGCGTTCCCAGTCCACACCTGGTCTAGCGCCGTAGGGTGACAGGGCGATATAAACTAAGTACAGAGTAGATAGCTAGCACTGCCTAAACGGTGTGTGTTGGTGGATGGGTGGCTCGGGGCACAAGGAGGGTGCTGCGGAGCGGAGACCTTGTTGGAAGAAGGCGGAAGGGGGCAAGGGCGTGGTGCCCAGGCACTAGTAGTGCCCTATATATGTAGACTCTGTAGCGTACACCACGTCCGGCTGCCTGGTTGAAGGGGGACCCCGTCCTATAGAGGCCGAGACCCTCTCTCGTTTAACTAACTGTGCCTATTGTAAGTATTTTTAGGGAGGCATAGACATGACAAGAACAAAAAGGCGGATGATGGATGGGCCAGTAGCGTACGATAGACAGATGCGGCAACGGCAGCGGTAGCAGGCGGGACAGGACGGAACAGGACAGGACAGGGCAGGACAGGGCGCCGAGTAAGGTAAGATGCACAGGCCAGGATGTGCCGGGGCGGGCCAAGGAGCGTGGAGACAGACAGACGTGAAAAGCGACGCTAGATTTGATTGGGAATACTTGGGGAAGACGCGAGGAAGCCGAGTCGAGCGAGCCTGCGTGCCACGGGCTGCGTGCCAACAGCCGGTGCAGTCGGTCGAGGAACGCTCCGAGCTGCAGAGCGAGTCGTAGTCGTAGCCAGAGCCAGACTGACTATCTTACCTAGGTGGAGGAGAGGTCTAGACACAAGAATACAGGGCTGGACAGGACAGGACAGGGGTCCGGTACGACAAACCGGTGGTGGTGCCGGTTTCGAGAGCTTGTCTCAGTGCCGCCAGTGTGCGCTGTGGGGTGGGAAACGGTATGGGAGTTTCTGCATCGATGGTATGGAGTCCGCAGGGAGACGGAGGGGGGCCGATTGCCTTAGGAAGCCTCTTTTATAGAGGGGCCACATCCGCCCACCCCTCCCTTTAGCCAGGCGAGCCCCGTCAGAGACCGAAAGTGAGAATGAGAGAAAGAGAGAGGTGGGGCGAGCAGAGCCGTCCAGACGAATGACGAAACAAGGGCGTTCAAGGGGTCCTGGACCAAGGAACCCAGCCCATCCTTCCACTACCTACAGTTTGTCGATATCAATCATGGCTGAGCGAACTGGATAGTCCTTGCGCGGCCGGGGTTTCGCACCGCACTCAAGCCCAACAGATGCGAAGCAAATGCAGGTCAATAGGAATTCTTTT